AGGCTTACCTCGGGGTAGCACAGCAAAAGAAAAAAGCAGCATCTTCGCCAAGACGAGGATTGTTGTAGTTCTTATTGTCCTGCTGAGGAAGCGCAATCTTGACCATAGTACGTTGATTTTCAATGTCTTCACTTTTCATAGCCATCATGATGTCGAAGTTTCTTTTCAATAGGTATTTGTAATATAGATTGTATCAAATGTCTTTTTCAAAATTATGCGAAGAGAGAAATTTTCATCTCAAAGATATTCATGACTGGTTTATGACCACTACAACACGACCAATTGGAGTGTGCTCTATGTAACGATGGTTTGGCATATTATTTCATTCTCCCGATTGAATACGATTGATGAGAAGGGTATAAGCTTTCAAAGGACATCACGACCTGTGGTTCGATGCTTCTTTAGTCGTCCTCACAGACTTACGCTTTTGCCGTGCTTTATAATTATAGAGTAACGTAATCATTGAGTATTATTATTACCTTCCAGCGACGAGTTCTTTTTCATTTAGATTTGTGAATCCTACAGAGTATGCGACATCACGATCTATAAAAAGCCTTTTTAGTTACTTTTTGACTCACGTCAATGGAAGTTTCTAACTGGCTATCTAAAATTATGTAGCTATCGTACAACATACCACTTCATTTTTCAATATTCATTTATTTATTCCTATTGTTCATTGAAAAAATAGAGAGTGTAGATAGAACTTAACAGCAACATTTCATCTAGCCCATCTCCATATTTATTTTATTTTTTTTCCTATATATGATGAGAGAGAGCGAAGAAATCAAAATCATTGAAAGACCAATCAGTCAATATAAAAATAACACATCTCATGTCGACACATCATCATCGTCGTCCTCCGATCAAAAACAAAAGCCGGCTACTTCGACGCAAAAACATATTCGGCCTAAACTTCGCAAAAGAAATGAAAATGTAGAATCTTTGATTGAACAAACGCGACTACAAATATCTTCCTTATCGACTCAAGAGGATCGACTATCTGCTCTCAAAGAGTCTCTGATAGATCAACCTAGCAACATTGTAAAACCGAAACAGGGACCAAAAGGAATTCTAAAGCCTTCCAAATATACCAAACCTGCAGCTATACAAAGTTATGAAAATGATACATTAGCTGATGAATTAGGTTTACCTAGAAATGATATGGAACCGCAACGTACCGAGGCTTTACCAAGTGTGGCGGCTTTTGTCAAAGATACAGTTTTGGAGAAAAAGATTGAAATACCCAAACCAGTAGTGACGAAACCTCAAATGAAGCAAGTAGAAAAAGAACAAGGACCGAAGATAATTAAATCTTTGGCGGAATTGATTGAATTGGGTCAACAGGCAAATGCGCATCTAGAAAATTCAGAGACTGAGGAGAATGGTGAAAAGATGGAAACTATGATTGAAGCCAATATGGAATTTAAATGTATATCTGAAAATGAATATGAAGCTGCTATAGAAAAAGCGAAAGAAGCAGGTATATCAGTTGAAGAATATGTAGCTCAGCAAGAAAATAATTCACAAGAAGAAGATGATGAAAAGATGTCCATGAATACAGAAGAGGAGATGGACGAGGAAGAACGAGTGACGATTGAGACGGAAGATGATATTTTCCAACAAGATGATTATATGGATGAAGAGGAAGAAGAAGAAGAAGGAGACATGTTTGAATTCTTTGGTGAAGAACAACAGGAAGAAGAAGAAGAAGTACTATTCGAGCCAGAATTACGGGCATTCATGATTCTATGGAATGCACTCAAAGCCTGGATTACAGCTGATGCAGTTGACGTTCTGAAAAAGTGCAAATCGGAAAGCTTTGCTTTTAAAGATGATAGTGAAGGGTATCGCATCACCAAACAAGATCCATTTGGGAAATCGAAAAAGGAGCAACCCTGCGACGTACATCTATCTCGTTGTGCAGGGCTCATGAATATGTTGAAATTGAATCTAACCAAGTGTCTTGATGACTGCGGATATTCAGCAGACGATGGATACACCATTAAAACGGCTGAAAGTAGACTCTATGAGTTTGTGCAATTCTTTGATTACTCGGAACCAATGGTCAAATTTCATTCGGATATGTGGAAAGCCCTTACAGTGATTCTATTAAATATTGTTCTTCCTCGACACGACCTAGCTTTTGAGGGCAAGTCGGGAATCATTGTTCAAGATCACGCGGAGTTAACATTGCCTCTAATGTTGCGAGAGGTAGGAATCACGATGGAGGAATACAAATATTTAGTCAATAGTGCTATTCCAAGCTTAGATCTAGGTAGCTAACATTTTAGAAATTGTAATTTTAGTTATCTAGACAAAACACTACTATAGAAAGATTATTGATTACTTCTTTTTCTGTTCAACTGGTTCCATTTTACCCGTCTGTGGATTGAATACCATGGAACGCTCTTCCCTAGCCTTCTTTTGCTGTTCAATCATTTTTCTTCTTTGTTCTTCAATTCTCTCTTGTTCTGCTTGTCTTTCATCTTGGAACTGCTTCATTTCCGCCTTTGCCTTTTCTTTATAACTCTTTCTAGTCGCAACCATTTCAGTCAATTCTTCTTCTTTGAGAGATGATACCCAAAGTGCAAACTCCTTCTTGGTACTTCTTCCCGGTTGAAGAATCTCTGCTGCGAGTAATTCTGTTCCTACAAGTTGTACATCTGCTTCTGACATGGATGGACACTTGGAGCGTACTACGTCAAATGTTGGTTCAAGTCCAGCTACAAATGCTTGAAGAGCTTCTTCTTGCTCTGGATTTCCGCTTCCGAAACGTGGAATAATATGTGCGAGTAGATTCACCTTATCTTCTGGTACCATTGCCGCTGTTCGTTGTCCTACAAGTGCCCAAAAGTCTGGTGATGGTGTTCTCAATCCCAATCCTAAACAAAAAAGTGTGAGCGGATATACCTAATAAAAAGGATTTACGACACTTGCACGATACTTTCGCCACTTACCCATTTTTAAAGCTAGAATTTGTTCATCATTACCATTGTAGCCAGGGTCTGTAATCAAATCAGTAGCAAGTTGCGCTTGCATACCAAATGTAAATGCAAATTGATCCATCTTGACTAGACTTTCATAAATCTTTGGCAGAACCTCAATATTTTCACCTACTCTAACCTTTTGTTCCTCTGTAGTAAAAGTTTTGAATGCTCTCGCAAGACGTGGCGCCAACAATTGTTTGTCACGTTCTTCAAGGGTAGGCAACAACCACATTTTAGAAGAAAATGACTTCTCTGGATCTGCTTCATTAATCTCCTGGTCAACGAATGCCTTGGTTGCCTGTACAACAAACATATTCATAGATTTTCCTCCACTCAAATTGGAAAAGAGTCCATTATCATCTACACTTTTTGCATCTTCTGGTGAACAGTCAAAACCTTTGAGATTCTCCCAACCATCACTTGCACTGAATTGGAAAAAGGATCCGCAAATCCACATATGTTGATCATCATTCATGTCTCTCCACATTTTAGTTTGTGCTCTTTCGAATTTTGTTTTGAATGCTTCTCTATTGGTAAATGGTACCATCATAATTCCGCCGGGTTTGAGCAAGTACCATGCCGATCTTTGATAGATAGAGACTGTAAGCAACCTATAATTATATATATATAAAGAAAAGTGAGTCATGATACTCGTTACATACCTAAATACTTCACGTGGATTGGTCAAGAAATCAACAGTATTTGCCATAATGATTGCATCGAACTGATCTGATCCTAGAGCCTTCATTTCTTCTGAATTAACACCGCGTTCTTCAATTACATCGTTAAGATTCGCTACAAAAGATTCAGTCAAGGCAGAGTTTTGATTCATCAATTGTTGATTTGCACCTACTCCTACATGACGTTCAAGTTGAAGTCCATCTGGAAGATATGATTCTTCAGCAGCTCCCAATTCAAGGACAGACATGCCATCTTTGAGATAGAAACTATAATGTCTATGGTTGAAAAGATGAGCGACCTGTACCTAAGTATATATATTTTGAAAAGCTAGAGAAAAATACTTACTCCTTCAATTTTGCAACTGCAGCAGCATCCATCTCCGTCTTGATATCCGCCTTGTCTTCTTGCCAATATTTCATAATATCAAGTTTTTCCTTCTTTTCTTCCTCAACTTCTTCAGGATTTGGTAAATTTCCAGCCAACAATCCAGTCACAGGTGAAGCATTCTTGGGTTCCTCAATATCTTCCTTTGGAGTAAACTCTGCCTCACTGTAAGGCCAAACTGGTGGCCATCTCCAAGCTCCGGTTCCTACTCGTAAGCCTGGTGCTTCGCCTTCACGTTCTTCATCGGATGCCATTGGCATTTTCTTTTTAGCCTGTTCTTCCCTCATTTTACGAATCATAGGTCCGATGATGTACAATTGTGTCGAAGAAGTTTTTTGGACTTGATGAATGGAGGGAGAAGTGAAGGCATCACTGCCACTTAGAAACAGCGACAGAGCTAGAGTGTGTAGAGTTGATGAACTGAACTTCATAGTTGGTAGTTGTTCATATAATATGTTTAGTAATGAAACTATGTTCTACTACTGTTATGATGAGTTGATGTTTGATGGAACAAGATTGGCTTGAAGTTGGGTTTCACACATCAAAAAGATTTCTTCAGAAGGTCATGAGCACTTCAACTTGGAAGTAGATGCGTACTTTGGATAGCTAGGGTGTGTAGCTACATTAGGTAAATTTTGACGTTTTCAACTTATGGAAACTTCTCCTGTTTGTAGAACAAGTCAATGACAACACTATTATAACAGTAATATATAAAACCTCAGAAGAGACAATGTTGAAATGAAAAACACTTTGAGAAGGTAAACGGTCTAATACAATTGATTCATGAATTAAGGTAAGAAATATATAGTCTTTTTGTATTGTGTTTTTCATAATGTAGGCAATAAGGGGGGTTAGCTCAGTTGGTAGAGCGCGTGCTTAGCATGCACGAGGTCGCGGTTTCGATTACCGCAGTCTTATAGCTGAAATCAATGATGTGTTGTCGAAGATGGGGGCTTAGCTCAGTTGGTAGAGCGCAACCTTAGCATGGTTGAGGTCACGGGTTCGATTCCCGTAGCCTCCAAAAAAGTTTTGCAAGTGCGACTTCTTTTTATCCCTATCTGGTTAGAAGAACAATCAGTCCCGCACTGGTAGGTACAGATTTTCTCCGAAACTAGGAAAAACGACGAAAAGTTGCACCAACGGCAAGCGAGAACACACAACACAATATCTTATGATACCTTCACATAAAAACAGCAAGTCCAAAAGAACAACATATAACACAACAATCAACCTCACAGTAATTTGCGTTTTCCTATTGCACTCTGTCAGTAAGTGAACATTAAGGCAAAGGCTTCGGTCTGCGCCGGTATGGCCTCCATGAGTATGCAATAGGATTTGATTCATCCATGAATCAAGAGGGGCGGGTATCAAAAACCCATGCAAAGATACTGTGCATCACTGAGCCGCCAACATCAAAAAGATACACTCCAATGCTTCACACACCTAGTGTGGTTCGACTTCTTTTTTTATTGTATTGCATATTCAATAAGGTCACCGGTGGTCCTGTCTGTTTAACCTTTCCTGGTTATTCAGCTTGCTATCCCTGACTGATTGCTTCACAGTAACAGAAGAATCCGAATCAGCACACGTCATTACGTCGCTCCATATCGTTTGCCTTACAATCCGCGATGAAAGAACCCTTCACCGTAGAGCCATTCTATTAACATCATATGATCCATCAGGCTTTGGAAAATATAGAAATATCAACACTTGCAATTGATTTAGATGACAAATAGATGTTTTTCAAATTGGAAGAACAAGTCGAAGCTGTCCAACTATACAATTGGACGATGGAATGCGTTCAAAGGTTGAAGTTTTTTTTGGCAAAATCCATAAGATTTCCGAGTGTAGAGGAATGTGGAGTCGTCAGAAGTTCAAAGGGGATCTATGGAAAATATTGAAGATGAACAGGTGTCAATCGATTTGACAAAGCATTTGAAGATGATAGATGATTATTATCAATTGTCGAAAAATGAACAAATGAAAGATGTGCAATGGATCGATGATGATATACCCTTCATAGGACGACTTTGAACAGTGCTTCTGTAAAGATCTTACCATATAGAAATTTTAATTACCGTCCAGGAATGTATTGTGGTGGAATGAGAGCTAGAGCAATTTCATATTCGCAATGCAAAAGCAGCTACTGAATTCGGACATTATCCAAAATAATGTTATCAGGAAACCTGATGATAAGGGAAGCTATAATTCGATTTCATTTTTATCAAAGTACCTAAGAGCAAAGTAATTAGGACGCAAATTGCAGTCGACTACTCAAACTTTCTCAAATGATATTAAATATCGTCAATCAGCAATTTATTAATAAATAAACTACGCCAACAAACCAGACGTACCATTTCTTGAAGTTTCAATTCCAATTAGAAATTAAATATTACAAACATATGTTGCTTCTCCGAAGTGCTGTCCTTCTTGATTGATTCTCAAGAACACTTTCTACGCACAACTCAGTATGATCAAAATAGTTATGGTACGAATAAAAGATTTGCTCATATATCAATTGCATACAAATTCAAATCGATTATTCTATTTAGTTCAAATATATAATGTAGTCTTAGCATTATGGTTATCATTAACGAAACGATTATCTGCTGCTTATATTTCCAATTACCTTCGTATGCAACAAAAGTCCATTTTTTGTACATATCATCTGTTCAGTATGAAATTCCAATGATGTTCGATGTATGACGTCGAAACCTTCATGCAAAAGAATTACCACATCCAATATGGATAAAGGAAATATGAGCGATAACTACACAAAACAAAATCCTTTTCACCACAAGGGCGACATCGATTAAGTCTAGTCAGTGCTGGTAAGTGGTGACAAGCGCTGGCTGAAGCAGGAATTTGAATGTTTACGCGTTTTCCAACTCAAAAAGGGTTATTATCTATTAGCGAGTCAAATTCACAGGTTATTAACTTATCAAAATCTGATAGTGACAATGTACGTGTAAACCGCATGTATCTACTTGGCTCGTACGGATTTTGTAACGAAGACAAATATTGCAGATGCCGATGCAGCTGCGAGTTCCTTTTGTTTGAAGTGTTTTCAATTGAATCTTCCACTTCACAATCTTTTTAATTCATACATATAATCTAAATACATATTGATAGAAAATACAAAAACAAATACAGAGAATACCATCATTTACACCGGTTAATATTATTTAGCGAGGAAATCCCCGGATGGCCATGTTAGTACTCAATGTTTACGAAAATCTTGCTCTACGAGCCCGTATTTTCATCCACATTCACACTTGTGCTCGTCTGTTGATGCAATACACACACTCAGCTTTTGCATTTGCAATCTTCGATGTCATCTACTTCGACGACAGCTATGGCAAAGAGACGATGCTAACTACTTAAGCACATGGATCGTTCATTGAAAAGAAAAGGAATCATGCCTACAAAAGTGAGTAAAACATCATGATTATTTATTTCCCTTTTCTACCTTTGTTCTTCCCATTACCTTTCTTCGCTTTAGCTTTCTTCTCATGAGCTTTCTTCTCATGAGCTCGTTTCCATTCATTGAATCTATCCTTCACGACAACCGGGACATCTGCAGGAAGAATTAGACAAAAGTCCTGAACATTCCAATCGAATTCATAAAACTTGAGATTCATTTCTTCGATTTGAATCATGCATTCTTCGATGAAGGCGTCTTTATCATCACATTCAATGTAATCAAGAACCTGCGGGTGGAATTGTTCATAGAACCGATAGGTACCAGTATCTTTAGGAGCCAAATTTGCCTTGATTCGAGAACTTTTGAGGTAATTATTTGGACCTTCCATTTTTTGCTTCTTTTTCTTGAATAGCTTTTTCTTATCTTTATTAACTTTGTCCTTCCATTGTTGAAAATTTTTTGGAAAGAACTGCAAAGGATCAGTAAGGGTAAATGATGCTCCATCGTATTCGTAGAATTTGATATTCTCTTCATTCATAGACTGGATCAATCGTTTAGAGAAGGCCTCCTTTTCTTTCTCAGTCATGTTCTTATCTGGTGGACATTTGCTAAGTTCTTCTTGAAACATTGCACGAACTCGACGATTGCCAGGGTTTGTTTCAAAAAGATTATTATGATGTTTGGTTTTGACGTAATGATAAGCATACTTTTCCATTGCTTGTCGATCCGCCAATAACTTCTCAAGCATGTCTAGCGCGATGCGAAATGTCAAAGGCTTTTTATTGGTAGCCTTATCTTTCACATTCTTCTTGAAGAAGTTCTTGACACTATCAGTGTTTCTATATTTTTAGATGAGTAAGAAGTTCTAAATTAACTCATCGAATCATACAATAATAGACTCACCTGGTTGGGACAAAGCATTTGATTATACGACTGTCAATAAACGCTAGGTCTCTAACTGAATTTGAAAGGTCATTTCCATATCGCGCAGTAAAGCCTTCAATATACTGTTGTATCTCTATCGAAGTCCAAGTGTCTCCTTTTACCAAGTCTTCTGGAATATATTTTTCATATAACGATTCAAAGATGATATTCATTACTTCTCGCTTTTCTACATCGTGGCGGACTATGAACATGCACTTCACGACATCGACCAAAGTTTTAACTGCATATTCAAAATCTTCCTTTGACTTTTTATTTGCTATCATGACTCCTCGCATAGTTTGCAGCACTTCCATCCCGTCAAGATGATCTCTAATAAAGTCGCGCAGCTCCTTGTCCCTAATCGATTTCAAATATATACGTTCTTTACCGTACTGAAATCAATTGAAAAAGATTGAGCTAAAAAGATATAACAAATTTCAATACTGAATGTAGCAACTTACAAAATAGTGGAGTTTCATCTCATAAATTGTTCCAGTAAAATATGGAGTCCTATTCAAATACTTTCCAAATTGAATGTCGTTACTGACAATTATACCTTCTTCATCTTCAGTACCAATATCGACATTTACCTTAGTAATTTCTCCAGACTTGCTCGTCTTAACGACAATACCTTCAAATTTGTTTGCAACCATATTAATGCCCTCTGTGTCAAAGAGAAACTTTGCCTTCAGTAAAAATGCCATATAATACCACCCGATTTTGATCAGGTGCATTTTCTCACACCACATTCCTGCCATAAAAGCAGTGGGATCAGTCTCCATACTCTTCTTTCCATCCCAACTGAATTTCGAAAGCAACCTATTTATAAGATGCATTTGGAAGAAGAGATCACGCTGAAAGTATTGGTCACGCCATCGTAATGGGTTGAATGCTAATCCACTGCTCTCGGTGAAAATGACACATGATTCATTTTTGAAACAAAATCGAACTGCAGGACCCTCCTCATCGAGCTTCAAAATTGCCAACTCTTCAACCCACCCACAATCACGAACGCATACATCATGCAAATTGTTCCTATCAGCTAAATGTTTTGTAGCTTCTGAATTATAATATGCAATCAAAACTGATCCTGGCCTATTTTCAGCTTCTACAAGGGAAGACTTAAACCTGTCGACGGCACCTTTTGTCTGATCATGAGTGAAGTTTGTACTGAAGGGCTGAGTAGGATCAATGACTGGATCAAGCAAGTCCTCCACTTTGTCAGGGCCACCAGGAATTGATCGACAAGTATATCTACCTGCTTGGACTTGTGCAGATACATAAATTCCTCCTTTTCTTTGGTCGATCAATTTGACAGCAACAGGCCATGTTTCCCAAAATTTCAAAAAATGTAGATCTGTCCTACCACCCATTCTTTTCGCCATATGTGATTTTGCCTTTGCAACTAACTCCAATAGACTATAAAATTATGAGTTGTGGATATTCGAAATACTCATATATTTGAAAGGATTGGTCAAAACTTACTATTTCTCACGCTCCATATACACTTCATTAGATCCCATCAATGCAATGAACTCATGGGGATTATTCTTAAGATGCAGTTCAATGAAAAATAGAGTAGAAAAGTATGATTCAATTGCACGAATTGCAATCATACGTCTCATACCATAATTCTTCCCACCATCATTAATCATCTTGCAAAGATCTCGAAA